GTTATTCTTTTAAAAGTCGACTATGAGTTCTTTGGTTTGGGATGATTTGTTTTGTAATCGAGTGATTGGAAGAAGTTAATATGGCGACGTGAACATGGGAGTAAATACAGTATACGTCGATCTATGGCTTGTTTAAAACCGTAATAAACGAAGAAAGACGTGATTTGAGAATGAAATGTAAGTTGAAATTAACTTTATATGCCTCAAATTTTCCATCCTATGTTTCTTAATGTAACTTCAGCTGTCTAAGTTCAAAATACAAGTTCGCGAAATTTGACAAATTTTGAAAATATGTAAAAATAGCTTGACTTTGAACTGTATTTTCTCAAAAATAGCCTGTGGCCTCAATTTCAAATATAGCTAAATGAAAAGAAATAACCTTTCGGCGTTTGTAGGTATCAAACATATCGTCAGGAAAATAGGGGCTCACAATGTTTTAGCTGAGTCTTTGAGACCCAGTTGCTTCGCACGTGTTGTGGTCAAGTTTTTGCCAAGAATCAAAGGCCGAAATGTGAACTTCCTTCGTGAACACCGGCTCGAGAAGGGTCTAGTTTGAAAATTTAGCTATTAATTTCGATTTCATGAGCATATTTTGGTTACACGTTAAATATTTTTGTACTTGATGAGATTCAAAATTTGTGGATATTCAAGCCCGGCTTTAGTGTAATTTTGGTGATGACCGGAACAGAAATAAAGATATTTTAAAAACTGGCCGTGGCCTCACGATAAAACTTTCCAAAAATGTTCTCTGTTTCATGTATTTTTATTTGATATCTTAGGTATAAGCGTAAAAATAGGGGCTCATACAGTTTACGAGGTTGTAAAATGCATTACTTGCCTCTATTTTCATGTAAACATTCGAAATTTTTCGACAGCAAAGTAGCAACTGTTTCAGATCGAATGCACATGGACAGCCCACCAGAGACAATGGCAGGGTACTGAAATAGAAAGTCACTAAAAAATTCTGTATGATTAATTTAGATCATGTCCATTTTCAACATAAAACAGTCACTTATTTTGTACAATCATTTGGCAATATTTACACGATTGTGCCTTTTTGTAAACACGCGTTGCGTGTATTCCACTCAATTGCGTGACTCATTTTGCTCGCGCATGCTCAGACAAATTTCCCACCTGTTATCATTCACCCTTATCCTACGACGAGAACCACCCGATATTATTGCCATCAGATCACGTTATTTCGAGATTGGTCGTCAAAGACGCGCACAACCGTGTACTTCATGCAGGTCGCGAGAGAACCCTATGTGAAACTCGAAGAAAGTTTTGGTTAGCTCGAGGTCGAAACGTGGTGAAGAAGATCGTGAGAGAGTACGTCACCTGTCGCAGACTTCGACAGTACCCATACACCACACTGATGGCAGATCTACCACCAGAGAGGTTGAAGCCTTTCTCACCACCATTTTCAGTTACTGGCGTCGACCTGTTTGGTTCGTTTTATCTAAAGTATGGTCGAAACTCGAAAGTCAAGAGTTGGGGAGCTCTCTTTACGTGCGCTACAGTCCGCGCCATAGATTTAGAGATCGTGCAAGATTTGTCAACAGAAGCTTTTCTCCATGCTCTGCGACGGTTTGCGGCCCACCATGGATGGCCCAACACTGTTATCTCGGACAACGGAACGTCATTCGTTGGAACTGAACGAGAGTTGAAGAAATTACTGCAAGAAGGAAAACAAGAAATCGAAGACTTCGCTGTAGTTCACAAAGTCAAGTGGCGATTCAATACACCGCTGAGTCCCCATCAAGGAGGATTCTTTGAAAGCCTTATCAAACTGGTGAAGAAAGCATTACGAGTGATAGTCGGACAACAAGCGTTATCGTGGAACGAGATGTCAACCGTTTTCGCCGAAGTTGGGAGTCTCGTAAACAGCCGCCCCCTTGGATATCCCTCCAACGACCCAAACGATCTTCGTCCTTTAACCCCGAACCACCTTATCCTTGGCCGTGCGTCAGCTGACGTCCCGCAAGGTCCGTTTCGAGAAGCAAGAAATTGTCGAAAGAGATTCGAATACATCCAGACGTTAGTACAACAGTTCTGGAAACGGTTCCAGCGCGAGTATTTCCAGACGCTGATGCGGAGAACGAAGTGGACGAGCAAAGAACGACAACTCAAGGTTGATGACATAGTTTTGATGGTCGAGTCAGGTGTCGCGAGAGGAAAGTGGAATCTAGCGAGAGTGATCGAAGTTTACCCTGGTCCAGACGGTGTTATAAGAAACGTGAAGCTGAGAACAAAGACAGGAGAGTATGAACGATCCGTGCAGAAGTGTTGTTCAATACTGGAAGAAGGTTCTTCCTAATCGTGGCCGGAGAGTGTTTCGGACAGTCTGCATGAACATTAAACTCTTTAACTTTATACCTTAGTAATTTTACCTTGATTTAATATGATTATAACTTGATTCAGTACTTTAGGTGTTGACAGATAGTAATTATTTAATGACGTAGATAGCTAAAAAGACATTTTAATAACATTGGACAAAAAAGAGTTTTATTGAGAGTGCTGCGAGTGAACAGTAAACAGAGAGATTAGCAGCCGTAGAGATCCACTCTTCAGGTACAGTGTATTGTGATTAATCATTTGTATTAAGCCATTAGGATAGCTATGAATTTCTCAATCATGCATGTAATATTTTGAACTGTAATCTAATCAGAATCTAATTATTTACTGTAGAATTTTTATATATATATTACGAAAAATCTCTATGGTCTGTGCGTGGTTCAATCCTTGGTAACACCGGTGTTAACAAAGGTTCTAATAACAAGTGATGCATTGGAGGCAAAATACAATTGCCGGTATTTAAAGAAAAAAGTGAGAAGTGATTTTAATTACATTAGCTAGCTGCATTTCCAAGATTGATGTAAACCAAGCCTCACTGCTACAATCTCTGTTAGTTAATGGACCTTGGAGTATCTACTGTAATAAATCAACATGCCCCTACATGTAGTTCATTTTATCACATATTCACTTTTACAGTACTTACTCTTTTACAGTACTTACTGTACTTAGTATATAAGTGTTGAAGTTTACACATTCATCTACTGTAATAAATCAACATGCCCTACATGTACTTCATTTTATCACATATCACTTCTACAGTACTTACTGCACTTAATATACAAGTTTTAAAGTTTGCATGTTCATTAACCCATTAAGTCACATTGTGCCCTGATGTGCCCTACTTTATTATTTTACTCTGTCTAATGCCAGACGATTTTGCTTGTCAAAGGGAAAGCACTAGCGCTTAATGTGTAATCTAGCATATCTGCCTATGTGTCTAGTTAACCCATTGAATCGCATTGTGCGATTAAAACTAAATAAATTTCTTTAAACTAGGATTACAGATCAACCATGTATATACCAATGACTGATGTCACTTCAGGAGGCCATTATTGATGACCGACAGGTCCCTCAACCATCTTGATATTGCAAAATATCTTTCACCATCACCATTTAGGGGCATACAGAGGGATGCTATACAATGTATTGCCTTGGATAAAGATGCCAAGATACCTTAGTTGTAATTCCTACTGGATGGGGGAAATCTAGCTGCTACTGGATTCCAGGCATGGCCATGTCGGGAGTAACTGTGGTTATTACACCACTTATGGCATTGCAAAGTGACCAGGTGAACAAATTAAGGAACTATGGAATAAACGTGCGCAGTGTGAATTCAAGTATGCCAGCAGAAGAAGAGAAATTTATTTCATAGTCTGTCTCAGCCCGAAACAGCGTTCAAATTTTTTTACCTCACACATGAATTCGCCCCAATCTGCTATGGCATTTTTAAGTCAATGGTAGAAAATAAATCATTAAGATTCATTGTTGATGAAGCTCACTGCATTGATATGTGGGGACAAAACGGTCGACCATCTTATGCTAAGCTAGGGAATTTAAAGCAGTTTGGTAGACCAATTGCTGCCATTTACAAGAACTGCAAGAATCTAACAAAACAGAGGATTGTGAAAAATTTAGGGTTGGTTGATCGAGGCTGTGGTTCATCAATCAAAATGTAACCGGAGTAATTTGATCTGCACTGTTGTTTCTAAAAGCAGACCAGATGCAAAAGAAAATGTGGTAAAATATGCTCAAGATAATTATTGTGATTCTTGTGGCATTTCTATTGTTCTACAACAAAGGATACTCTTGAGTTGGCCTATATTTTTAAGTCAAAGGGCCTTGTCCGTCATTTACTATCATGGCAAACTAGATTTTTTTGAATGACAATGTTAAAGCTTGGCTGCCGGAAAGACATCAGTTATGTATGTGACCAGTGCATTTGGAATGGGCATTGATAAGCCAGATGTCTGTTTTGTTGTCCATCTTCGTTTTTCCGAAATCACTTAAAGAATATTATCAAGAGGCAGGGAGAGCTGGCCGTGATGGAATGAAGTCACATTGTACATTTGTGTATCATTTTGAAGACAGGAACAAGCTAATTCAGTTGATTTCTTAATCATTGAGTGAAGAACACTTGGAATTCCAAATGACTTCTCTTAATAAAGTTGTGTCATACTGTATGTCACATGTATGCTGACGAAGATTATTAATGGAATATTTTGATGATGAGACTGAAGTCAGCTGTAATGGAACCTGTGACAACTGTTAAGAATTACACGAATGAGTCTATCAATTTGTGCGATTGTGTCCAAGAAATGCTAGCAATGAATTCAAAGATTAATGTCAAGCAGGTGGCACTCACTTTTAAAGGTTCTAAATCAAAATGTGACATAGAAAGCAACAGTTTCCATGTCATTTCCCATTATGATTCAGAGAGAAATGTTTTCAACAACGATGCAAACACTATTAAATTTGTGCAACACCTCATCATACATGAAGTGTTGTTGGATAATATTTGTGCAGTGGATGATAAATTTACAATGCCATATATTACCCTGGGGGAAAAAGGCACAATCAGTCATAAACAGAGAAATATGTGTGTTCTTAATGATATAATTGTGAAAGGAGTGTCCTTTAAGGTTGGCCTCCTATAAAGCCAGGTTTTCACTTGCAATGTATCAAGGTAAGAGGGAAAATAATGCATTATGTTTAAGGTTTGTGAAGACAACATGGAAAGAAGGTTATTTTGAATTAGCTTCAGTTGCTCTGTCTTATTGCATTTCTTTATTCTGTCTATTGTCTTTCCTTATGCTTATGTCTCAAGTCAAAACTATAGGCTTAAAAGCCAGTCATGAGAAGTACAATGGTATTTTATTCATTAAATATTCGTTTCGCTTAGCTATATATTCATACAAACAAATTTCACGAGAAATCCCCATAAACTGCTATTAATTTACTGATTAAACTTACGATAGTTCCTCAGCATGCAGTTTTATCATGTCGGTAAAGCTGTGTGGTAGTCGACAAAAAGGGATTTATTTTAAACAGGAAAAGGGTAATTTATTAATGCGAAATTGATTAATTCAAACAAGTCACTCCCGTTGGAATTTTCACGCTTGGCTTTTTTACATTTTCGGAGCTGTATATACAATGCGATTAGAATAGCTATGTTCAATATTAACTTAGATAGTATGACAATCTCGGTAGTGCCAGCATTTGTACGTATTCAAAATAAACATGCCATGTACGTATTCAAAATAAAAACGTCTCTTTTATTGTTTGACAAAAAATTACATGTTGAGGAAAACTTCAGTAAAATGAACTAAATACTGGTACCAGACTTTCTGCCATAATAACATTGTGTAATTATGTTACAATGTACAATAGAAATCAAAATGCATAATACATCCATCGTATCCCAATGAGGAGTCGATCCAATTGAATTGTCTGGCGTTAGACAGAGTAAAGTAATAAATTAGGGCACATCAGGCCACAATGCAACTCAATGGGTTAACCTTGAAAGGACCTTTTGGCAACTTCTCTTATGGTTACCCAGCCTGAGGCAATGGTAATAAATTATAAATTGTTATTGTTCTGTGAAGTGCACATATTTTTCTAGGAGATATGGACCGGTCATTATTTATGGAAGACTTAATGAGTTAACTAAACAAAAATTTCTCCATTTTTTCCAGAACATGCAATGGATGTTAAAATAGAGCGATATGAGCTGTCCGGTTTACAAAGAAGACATTGTAAAAGCAATAAAATTCAAGCTAGACAACAAAGAGCAGGCATGGAAGAAACAGAGCAATGAATTGAATAAGAAAGATTAGTTGACATACAATGTGATTTTATAATGTACTGTATATATGGTTACTAATTCAAACAGCTAATTATATTTAGACATTTAGTATTATTTGTACTGTACGTTAAACATTATTTATTTAAACAGCTTATTGTATTTATTATATCAATAAAATAATGTTTTCAGATGAACAAATTTTATGTGTGGGGTGGTGACGTCAACAGATGATAGATTATACCAGATGTCTCACTCAGCAAAAATTGTGTCCGAGATTTTTTATATGCATGCGTTTGTCTGCCATTCTGGCAGTAAGTGTAATCCACGGTGAGCACTATATCATAGGCAAGATACATACAAATCTGAAACTGCAATGCATACAAGTCCGCGGTATTCCGTTTTTAAAATTCAAATTAGTGTGCGAAATTGGAAAAAACGTGCGAAACCAAAGCAATATGGCTTCCATTGAAGAGTGACCGAGTGCTTGTTTGCGCTTCACAAGCAGAAATGCTTGACAAATTTGAAGAGTACAAAATAATAAGTAGTGGTTGGAGATGTATCAAATCAAATGCACTTTTTGGTAAGTGAACTAATTTCAATATGTAAATTTGTCTTATAAATATTCATACGAATACCATGTGTGCAATATTTAATATGAAAGATCCAAATTATGCATACATAAAACCTTTATCGATTTACTGCAGTGCTACACTCATGTAATAAAATAGTATGTGCTTTAGAATTATATAGTAAATCTTAAGACTGGATAAAAACTTTTCATAGGGGACCATTCAATAATAATGGGAGGGGGGCGGTGGGTCACCGTGGGTGATAGATACCACATATTGAACATTTTTTATAGCCGCCCCAATTGCAAGACCTTTATTTTGAAGATGCCCCCACCTTCATTTAGAAATTTAGGACCCCCCCCCTCCAACATTTAAATTGTTACTTAGTTTGTGTAAAATAGGTAATGGTACAAGTACTGGTGTAAGACCTTGTGTAGCCTAAATAATAAGAGAACCAGTATTCAAAATGGTTGTATTTACTCTGACTCCTATCATGAACTGCATATACGTAATAGACTATGGAAATTATGATTATAGGAACTAAAAAAGGTGAAATATTTTCCAATATGATAAAGGCAAGAGATTGAAAATGAGTAGGAAAGTATTCAAAATTTGGGGTTGCCCCTTGTCACATATTTTGAAGCTACCCTCAATTCAGATACTAAGGGCCCCCGACAGTTAGGGGCCCCCATCAGCCACAGCCTATCACCCAGACAATTAGACTGAAAACGTAAAAAATGCAGGTTATGAATCGATGGAAAAATACAAAATTAATAATGCTAAATAATAAACCCTCCATCGACGTGGTATTCCATCTCAAATAGAACAAAAGTTATTCTTAAAAGTTAATTGTTACATGTGTTGGAGACTGTTATTGTCATTGTTATAGACATAGAATGTTCCATTCTACTGATAAATATTCAAGATAAAGATAAGATCTTAGTCAAACAATAACAGTCAACAGGGGCCACACCAAGGGTACCCCCTCTTGCTACATTATGCCACTGGCCCCCCTCCCTGCCTCCCATTATTAATAACCGGTGGTCCCTAATCATTCATTATATACATTTCATACAATTTCATATTATTTAATAGTGTCTCTTCTAAGTGACGATTTGGCAATGACTGGAGCAACATACGAAATTATTTAAAAAAATGGTCATATAGCTTTAACTCTTTGAATAAGTGGTATTCACTTTTCCATTGTCTTTCCTGAAAAATTTGTCTTATCCAAATGCTTTTTTTTATATTTCTCTTCTTTTCTTCTCCTTTGCTGACGACTACATAACAAAATAAGGAGACGCTTGTTCAGAGCTGCTGCCATTTGAAATAAGCGCGAAATAGTAATTTGTGAGACTGGAACGAGCGTGCTTTTACTGGTAATTGCTTGCTGGAGCGGACCAGATCGGAAAAACCTCCAATCCGGTCGAATGGAAAGTGGAAATTAGCATTAAAACAGGACAAGTGGAATGATCAGAAAAGGAGAAAATGGAGCTTGTTCCATTCTCACAAAATTACTATTTCACGTTTATTGCAAAACGGCAGCAGCTCTGAACAAGTGTGTCCTTAATCTTATTTAGTTACGTCATCACCACCAAAGTAGAAGCAAACAAGAAAAATACAAAAAATTGTCCAGGAAGACAATCATGTTGGACAATGGAAAAGTCTATACCACTTATTGACAGACGAGTTAAAGCTACCATGAATATTTTTTTAAGCAATTTCGTATGTTGTCAAGCAAATTAATTTAAGGAGCTGTTGTATGCTCCAATTCTTGTAAATTTTCTCTTGAATTATTCAAGAAAGCTCCTGAATTATCCTCCATTTTGTAAATTTTATACAGGTATTATTTAATTATTTTAATTTATGTGAGATAATACGGCATTGGATCGGTCGCCAGGTTTAATCTGCGGACCAGACCAGACCAAAAAAAGTAGAAAATATTTCAACTTTTTATTATCCGACCAGCAGCGTCGCCGGATCAATTGGAACCAAAAATTTCTACTAATGGTGCATGCACAGATTTTGTTCTGATCCGGTCTGATCTGCTGCTTATTTTCCTTTATCAAAACTTGGATTGGATTTGGACTAGACACTTTCGGATCAGATTTTAAACATTAGCCAATTGTTGAATTATAAACGTCTGATCCGATACACACCTCTAGTTTGAACCTACCTTCATGTCAACTTGGAGACACGTTCTGTTCAAAGTGTTTATATCAGTATTACGTTTCGTCTTTACATTTCAGTTATTTTGTGCTATTTGTAAAAACTAAGCCGTTTATTTCAAGATACACTGGCTATTGAAAAATCACTTCATAGAACACCATGGTACCTTGAAGGATGGAGTATGGCAAGCAATGCACAGTTGAAATAAATAGTTAGGGACTAAGTAGTCGGATAAATTTTGGGAACCGTGGCAAAAAATGGCATCCATCCTCAACAATGGTGCTTCCACTTGCATAGGTGAAGCTCTGTGCTTAAGTAAGGGGCCATGAATGTATCCAAAGTGAAACATAATGCAGTGCATACAAGTGGATTGCATCGGAAGGATCAAGAATACCACTATCCTCCAAAGCATAAAACAAATGGTAATATGTGTATGTACACTGGGAAAACAGCATGGCTGTAGAAAATAGGCAGCAATGGGGCGATGCTATATGATAATGGCGATTGAAAATATCGCGATAAATCGAAATATTGCCCAACCCTAATTGTCACTGCATTATTTGTTTGATACTTCAATTGGACGTCACTTTGTCAGCTTTCTTGACATGTATTATCGTGAATTCGCCTCCCAAGTGTCCACGATAAGTCACAAAATGTTATTGCTAACTCACAATTGTATAATCCCTTTAATAAATCTCAAAACTTTAACAAACAAAATCAACTCTCTCACGTTTAACGTTCTTAGTACGTTTTTCCCGTCGCCATCTTTGAACCATTATATATTTACTTACATAACGTACTTTTATCGTCTAGCCCGCGAACGGGCAATTTATCCATATCTATCCCTATTTATCCCTACACCGCTAAATCTCCAACACCCTCCCCCCATTTATCTTAGGAGGAGATAAATGTTCAGATTGTTCAAAGTCTCAGTGTTCCTCAGTGTTCGTCACGGTCATTCTCGGTCACTTCTCTTATACGTTGACGTGCGGTGACTGCAGCAGCTCTCTTTGGCCTGAACGTAGGTGCTTCTGGATTCATAACTGCTTTAGCAGGTGGTTCAACATCGCAAGATAGTTCTAAAGGATACAGTTGTTGAACTGCTCGTTCAAGATGAGACTTTTTACTGCGGACCGCAACTCTTACTTCTCCATCTTTCCCAGCAACTAGTTCTTTGACTACACCTAACGACCATTTTCCTCGTTTCTTTTCATCATCTGCGGTGATGACAACAGGGTCAAGGTCACAGTTTTCCTGAGCTCTCTCAATGTAGAACTGACGCTGGCGGGCAAGTTTGCTAGTGGTCAACGGTCCTATGACGCGGGATCGTCCTCTTTTATGAAGAGCATTGTTTGCAAATCTTCGCATCCAAGCACACACACGAAGAGCTTTCTGCAAGGGAAACTTCTTTAAGACTTCATCAGCTTCATTACCATCATTCACCGCAACAGCAACAGCAAGAACACTTTTCACTAGTTTCGCTTCAGCATTACTTTCAACAGTGGGTTGAGGCACAATGTCATCTGGCCAACATTCAGGGTCCTTTAGCCAATTTGGTCCCCGCCACCACAGCTCTGCATCACTTAAGTCACCAGCTCTGCTTGCACAATCCGCCGGGTTATCACTCGTTGGTACATGTCTCCAAATCAGATATTGGTGGTCATTGATCTTGTTGACACGATTAGCCACAAATTGTTTATAATCCCCATTTCCCTTGATCCAGTGTAAAACCACTGTGCTGTCAGACCAACAATAACTACTTTGAACAGGAAACCCATTCAACACTTCGCTTACATTCACTACCAGGTTGGCGGCAATGTGTGCTGCCACCAACTCTAAACGCGGGATTGTTAGTTCTTTCTTGGGTAGTCTAGCTCTTGCTGCTATCAAGCCTTGGTTTGTGCCCGATGCCTGCTCCACGACTGCATACACACACGCTGCTACCCTGTTTTTGCTGGCGTCTCCAAACGAATGTAGCTTGATGCTTTCGATTGGCTCTCTATGGACTACTAACGATCTTGGCACTTCGACATCAACCGGCAGACCATTCTCCCACTGATTCCACTCTTTGATCAGATTATCAGGCATTGGAGCATCCCACGCTATCTTCGCATCACATGTGGACCGGTATATCAGCTTACCTCGCAACGATAATGGTGAAATGAATCCCAGTGGGTCATATATTTTAGCAAGCTTAGCTACAATACCTCGTTTCGTTTTCACGGTCTCTTCTGTTGGTAGGGTTACATGAAGTGTATCTGACTCTTTTGACCATTCGAGACCAAGTAGTTTGCAGCCTCCCCCATAGGTAGTCCCCAACTGTTGTTTTGCATAAGTAAATTCCCCTTCTGGCAGATCTTCCAACTCTAAATTTTGATCATTTGAATGCCATTTGTGAAGGTTAAAACAGCCCTCTTTAAACATTTCTGTTATCTTCTCTTTGAACTCACGAGCTTCCGCCACTGTTGTAGATCCGGAAATCAGGTCATCAACGTACAGTTCATCTCGAAGTTTAGCTACGACGTCCGGTTCTCGGTCCTCCCAGGTGCTCAAATGCATGTCAATAACTCCCCCCAGCAAGAATGGGGAGGGAGCTAGACCAAAGGGCACTCTAGAAAATCTCAAAATTTCAACGTCAGACTGTCCGTCCGTCTGCCAATGGAAGCGAAGAGCATCACGATCGGGTTCCCTCACTCGAATCTGATGAAACGCTTTCTGTAAATCACCATTCAATGCTACCGGGTGAAAGCGTCCTCTGACTAATACATTCCAAAGTTTATTTGTCAGACTGGGCCCTGGGTTTAGACATTCATTAAGTGAAGGCGCTGCGTTATGAGCTCTAGCCGATGCATCATAGACAATCCTGAGCTTCGTTGATTCCGCAGAAGTTCGCAGCACTGGTCGGTGGGGGATATAAAACTCTCTACCTTCGCTGGGATTGCTCACACTTTCAATAATCCCTTCTGTCTTTTGCTCCTCCAGAATTTGGTTATACTTAGATCTCAGTCCCGCACGATCAAGTCTACTTGTCAAACCTGCCAGGCGACGTAAGCTGCTAGCTCGATTGTTTGGTAATGGGGGATGGTTTCCACGCCATGGTAACCCTGTCTCGTATCATCCAGTTCCATCCCGAGTAAGTTGCTCCTTGAACTCATCGTAGACAATACTCTGGCTGTTGGTTGGTCTATCTTCTAAGCCCAAGACGTCAAGCCGACATAGTTCTTCATAGTCAGCTTGAGATGTCTGAGCTAGAAGCATACTTGACACATCCACGGATTCCTTGCCTGGGGACATAATAGTCCAACCGAACCGAGTCAACTCGGCTACAGGTTGACCTGGAAGACCAACTCTAGGAGGTTTCTCTGTCTTCAGCTTCGCAAACTCACTCGCCCCGAGAATAATATGAACTGGAAGTTTATCTTTTAGGTCATGATCTTCCATAGCAACTCCATTCATATGTGAGTGGTTCTTAATGATCTCTTCATACCTTGGGTTATCCAAAAGTAACAGTTCGTTCTTGTTAACTTTAGTTACTTCCACCGACAAGGAAAAATCACCAGTGAGCCCCCCAATTTGAATAGTTGATAGTTCAACCTCTCTTGTTGTTGTTCCAAGCATCATGTCAATCTTCCTTACTTCTTTCTTGGAGCATTTTTTCGGAATCTGATCTAATAATGCAGCCGACACATAGGAGCTCCCTGCACGAGTGTCTAATAGAGCCCGACACTTGAACCCACCTACTTGTACGATAACCACTGGATGAATAACATTTGTACTACTACTAGCTCCGAGGAATTGTTCCGTCACCTGATCACAAATTGATGTGTGATGTCTCCGTTTGCATTTTTGACATCCTAACTTACTCTTGCACTCACTGGCACGGTGCTGTGCCCCTGTGCAATTAAAGCACAGTCCCTTTTGAGCTAGAATTTTCTTTCGTTCTTCTCTGGTTTTGACTTTCAAACAGTTTCTCCCTTTATGTGTGCTTTCTTCGCAGTAAACACATTCTGGTCGCCGTGAATTCTGTTCTGCATCTTGAGTATGGTAGAACCTTGAGTAACCTTTTCCTTTCCCACTGTGCTGTTGTTGCTCTAATTTCTCTTCTATTGGATTGATTTCACGCCATGTTTGTAGGGCCTTTAGGAGGTCTTCATATCCCCAGTTTTGCCAGTCCTCCTTTCCATGAACAAGATCAGCTTTTATACCCTTTAATTTATCTAATGTTGCCTGAACATTCCCTTTTACATCAGCCAATCTATCAAGGCTCTGAACATTGTACCTAAGCTGTTTGTAAAATTCATTGATCTTTGCTGGATCCTTGCCATTAATAACTGGTAAGCTCATAATGTTAACCACATATGTATTTACAACATCAGCCATCTGTCCGTATTCTGATTCCAAAACTTCTTTCGCCTTGTCATAACCCGCTTCGGTAAATGGAAGACCATCTATATCTGTCCGAACTTTCTCATCCAACAGTTCTTTTAAATAAGAAAATTTTGTTAAAATCGGTATGTCTGTGGAGTCAATTTCAGATTTAAACTTCCCCCAAAATGGGAGCCATAAATCAATTCTTCCATTGAACTTTGTGATGGGTAGTTTGGGTAATTTTGCACCAGAGGCAGAGGTTGGTTTACTGTGTTGATTGTTTTCACCTTGTTTCGTTTTCTCTAACTCTTCCTGAAATTTTGCCTTTCGTTCAAATAACTCAAGTTCAAATGCCAACTTTCTTTCGTGTTCGTAAGCTGTTTTGGCTTCTCTTTCATCATCATCCACTTTCTTGATCTGTTGATCCAATAATTTGATATCCTGATCTGCTTTCTCAAGTTCGCTTTCATATAGTTTGCTCCACTCAGCTATAGCCTCTTCATCTTCACCTTTCGCAAATTTTTTTTCTTCGATTGTTTCCTTTAGCTCGTTTACTGCTTTCGATATATTAATAATACTTTGTTTTTCACGTTCAGATGCTTGTCGATCTTGTTTCTCTAATATTTCACTCGTTTTTGTGCACCTAAAGTTAAGGGTCTTTATCTTGCTCGATAGTTCAGCTATTTGTCTCTCCATATTGTGTCACAAATTTCAATATATAGTCGAATACTCACATTTGTTTACGTTGACAAATTCAACTCGAAAATCCCGTCGAAAAGGTGCCACTGTATCGTGAATTCGCCTCCCAAGTGTCCACGATAAGTCACAAAATGTTATTGCTAACTCACAATTGTATAATCCCTTTAATAAATCTCAAAACTTTAACAAACAAAATCAACTCTCTCACGTTTAACGTTCTTAGTACGTTTTTCCCGTCGCCATCTTTGAACCATTATATATTTACTTACATAACGTACTTTTATCGTCTAGCCCGCGAACGGGCAATTTATCCATATCTATCCCTATTTATCCCTACACCGCTAAATCTCCAACATGTATTTCTTTGTTTTATATTTATTTGGTTAAATATTTCAACTTGAATGAGAAATTTATTTTACTATTAAAGGATTTTTCAGATCGGAATTCTTTATCAAAACTCGGATTCGGATTAGACAATTTCGGATCGGATTTTAAACATTAGCCAATTGTCGGATTATAAACGTCCGATAAGATGCACACCTCTAGATCTAGTACCCACTTTTTGTGTACATGCTCGGCAAGTTACTAGATGCATGCATCCCCATTGGATGGCGGCTCACTTTAAATTAACTGCTCGCTGAACTTGTGAGCGCACACAGTTGATCATTTTTTGCCTGGTTGCCTGAAAAAAGTGGTTACATAAAAACTTAGTTTCCGCATCAGCATGTGCTTTCAAGCCTACTGTTTATGCATTCTGAATTCAATGACCCAATAGGCAATAAAAGGTCAATTTTACTTCTAGTTTGACACTGCTGATATTCTCAACAACACACCAGATGACCTTCTCAGGGCTTGCAACATCAAAGGAGGACAGATTGTTCATATCCGAAAAGCTCTGGAAGACCTTGAAGCAGGGGGTGTATATTCTTCTATAACCCCCCCCCCCTGGGGGGGGGGAGAATCAAAGGGTCTTAGGGCTAGGGAAGAAAATCAAAGAAGAGTAGAAAAAATGGACATGCAGAGGGAAAAGAAGAGAAAAATTTCCGTGGGTAATTCGTAAAAATCAGTGTTTCCACTTTCCAAAATGATTTTTTCTATTTTTTCCTAATGGAACGTAACTTAAATAAATATGAAAAGCTTTACCGAGGATTGCAAATTTAGTAAATAATAACTTATAACCCTAGCTAATATATAATTTAGGTATTTTTTTCTATCTTGGGGAGGGGACAAATATACTATGTCACAGTATTACTATTAGGTACTAGACTTGCTCCAAGTCTCTCTTTCATGGTCATATCGATCCACTATAGTGTCCATTACATGACGTAGCATGGAGAGGAGGAGCGAGAAAGAGAGACTTGTCAACTTCGGAAAATCTCGGTTCAAAACTGAACCGAAAATGCAAGACTTGCTTTAATTGTTTTCCTTCAATTTCTTTATGTATTATTTACTTTTATGGAACTCATGTTATTTACACTGTGCTAGATCAATACTTCTCACACATCATTAGATATTCATAGCATTTCGGCCAATGACATGGTGTAATTTACATCACGTGTATCTATCTGGATATCCCGTCTAGACCAGGAATTTAATTACTTCAAGTGGGAAGGGCTTTGAACAATAGGGAAATTGAGGGGTAAACAAAAGATTATGCAAATATATTTAATTGCTATGTTTAGAATTATTTCTAAATACAGTAAGCTGTATTTAGAAATAACTTCTAAATACACAAAAACATTAAAACACACTTCAAACAACAAAATATGTTGCTTTTTTAATCACACTAACAATAACACATATACAATTGACTTATTAGTATTACTTATTTCCGGCAAACGAAATGTTAAAGGAACAGTTAGTGGATGTACTGTTCGACAAAACAAACTTTTCTGCGATAGTACGTCGCTGCACCTCTTTATCAATTTTAGACCAGTCCACTTCACTCAAAAACTTATCAAGTTCCTCGTCGGAAATTTGAAACTTTTCGTCTTCCTTAGGCTTCGAGGGTGGCTTAAAACAGTTGTCAACAAGCGACACAATCTTTGATACAGATGGGCCAACACACTTGGATACAGCCATTGCTTGATCATTACTAGGTTTCTCATACGTAAATAAGGCAGAAGAAACATGCCCAGTTCGTTCACGTATTAATTTTTCTTGATGGCCAGCACGAAACAAATTTGTTGCTGTTGTGACACGAAGGCAGTGTGCTGTCTTAATCTCAAGACCAGCTTCTTTCATTAAAAAAGGCACGATAGAATTAAGCTTATGAATACCAATTGGTGCATTTTCGAATTTATACGCTGTTTTGCTCGGTCGAAAATAGAATGATTCATTAATTTTCGGTAACTCGCTGACCAAGGAAATGTACTGCTTAAACATTTGAACCAGGCATGGTTCATGCACACTTTCCTCATCCTCGTGACAATAATGAGTCACAATTCTAGGTTTCTTCTTTAAATCTTTCAATCCTCCATGAAACGTTTTCGAAATATTTTCTCGATAACAAATTTTGTTGTTTTCTATGACAAAGTTGCTTAATCTTAACTGTCTGTGTTCACATGCTCTTAATCCGAATATTTTTCCGATATAGAAATAAATTGTGTAAACCAAACTTTGAGCAGTTTTGTCTCCCAGCAAGCCTTTTGACCACAGCAAACCTTCTTCATCATCTGTAATAGCTTCTTTCTCTCGTCTTGTACGATTCTCCGCAAGCGATTCGCCTTCCCGGTGGGTGGCTTTCATTTCACTATCCAGCACTCTTCTGAACGTCTGGAAACTGAGTAATAAACATGCTCATATTACAATAAATTAAACTAAACCATTAATTAAAAATGAACAAATTCAACTTACCAGTGATTGTTAGCATTTAACATGTTAGCTTCAGCCCGGCCATTTTCGTCTAGATGTCGTTTCAACGAGCATATAATTTGGTATACTGTACGCCCGGGATATGGCTTGCCATCCTTGTCGCAAACTTCTTGAACAAATTTGATAAGCCAGAAGTTTAACGTTCTTGCCGTCATTGAACACAATTCTGTCTCCAAATTTTGCAAATTCTGCAAATCTAAGCTGAAAGGATTGCTCTCACACATGACTGCTTTATTTTCTCGCCCACTTTGCCAATCTTCAAATATACGAACTCCCCAACGATTTTTATAACGCGTTGTTTGTGGAATAGCATTTCGCACGTTGTCAATGCTTCTTTCCACGCTTTGAGGATCTCGAAATCTCCTCTTTTTGCAACTAGATGCCATGCTTCCTTCGAAGGCGAACAAATACTACAACAACAACGTCTTTAATTCGTTCCTTCGTTACGCATTCGCCTCATTGAACAACTTAATTCGCTATTGTTACTGCCTCATTGCTATGAATATCTAATGATGTGTGAGAAGCAATTTCAAATCCTCGTTAGTGTTTTAAACTTGGCTTCCAAATCCCCAGTGCCATGAACAATGGCTCGGCTGCGCCTCGCCATTGTTCATGGCACTTGTATTTAGAAACCACGTCTAAAACACTAACTCGGATTTGAAATATTACATATAAACACTGACAGAAAAGTTGACAAGTCTCTCTTTCTCGCTGTGCCCCTCCATACTATGTGATGTAATGTACACTATAGTGGATCGATACTATATGACAATGAAAGAGAGACTTGGAGTAAGTCTAATTAGGTACAGGCCTTTGAGGCTGATGTAGTAAAGATATGCGGAAAATAATCAAATCTGAAAAGAAGGGGGGGGGAGAATCAAAGTTCATTGAAGAATATACACCCCTGCCTAGAAGTTTGTCAAGTTAGAATCACTAATTTATGTTATTAAGAACTTTCAGCTGTGATTTGTGAACCTGGTTGCTCTAAAGAATTTATACCTTTGTGTCAAACCTCTTTTGCAACTGTTCAACTGAAATCTACCACATGCATTAACTTTTGGGGGCAATTGACCAGCCTGTGTACAACCATTACAGTGTTTTAGCCCTGACAATTCTACTCATCAAGGGAAGAGTTTTTCCAATTACTGTAATCAGTTAAAATAATTTTATTGGTCCCAATTTGCTATAAAAATAATGGATTTTGCAGTCTGACAATACTGACATGTGAATTGTGTATTGTATTGGTTTAATAGATTATGCATGAGAATGAAAACCAGGGGTTTCAAACAGAAAATGAATTTGTTCCTATCATCTTTTCATCAACCACACCTGCTTCATTGTTTGTCTTGTTTTACTAGATAAACCTGATTCCTCTCTGCTCCCTGTGGAATTTTTAGTTGTTTTCAATCGATTTCATTGTAAAAAGTATCCTTATTTTATGAGAAATCCTAAATACTTTGTTTATATTTTGCAACAATTGCAGAGCAAGCGTGCCTCCAGGTGCACCAAGCGAAGTTGCAAAACATGATGGAGAGTCCATTGGAAGAAGATCCACACAAAGAATATGGTATGTCATTAAACTAACATTTCAATATTTAAGGTTTTGGGACTTGGGTGGGAGTTTCCCCAAATTTCAGGGGTTTTTTATTTGAGAGGGGGGGGGGGATTGCCACTCACAAACCCATCATTTCCTATGCCTACCTATTTCCAAGCGAGGAGATAGGAATGGTATCTGGTTTAACTCACCAACTGCACCTCTATAATATGCCTTTAGTTACCATTTACCAGTTTAATATTAATGATATTCAATAGATTCATTCCCCCATTTTGGGGGAGGGGGGGGATGCTCCCCCAGAATTTAGCTATTTTCAGATTTGGCATAGAATTCCCCACACAAAATACCTGTGGCATGGTCTCCAAACTTTACCCTTTGGGGTCTTATCCCCTAGGCCCATTTGCTCATTAAGGCTCTCATGCACTTGTACATATTTGCTTGCAAATTAACTCGTTCATTAATTTGCATTCTTTTTCTCACGCTAGACATATAGGAGTACAGTGGTTGCCTTGATGATTCAAGATATATTGAAGGAGATGGCAGGAGAACTATTGTTCCTAAAAGTTTGTTGTGTAAGTTTTGGTTACGATTAAAATTAGAATATGTTGAAATAACTTATCGCTAAGCTAATGGCTGCAGGATTGCAGTCATTGCACAAAGCTCCTCGCTATGAGCACTTGCATCAAATTAACTTGACCATCGAACATTGCAATTGGATTTAAGTTATTCTCTGCGATCAGCTTT